CTGCTGAACAGCCTAGGGCCCCTAGAGGGAGGGAGCCAGATTCAGGAAAGGAGTCCTGAGAAGGAAAATACCAAGAGAAATTAGGACATGCCAGCGTGGACGTTGGTGACCTCTTCCTAGAGATTGTAATGGAGCTGGTCATAGCTGGTCTGCTATGGCTGCCTGGCTCATGGGTGACTGGGTGGATGGCTCCAGGCTTCTAATTCTACCAACAAATGAGGATACCCAGGGCCTGAATGTCTAGTTACCAGACTCTCACACCTGGAGATGTCATTGCACATGCAACCAGGGCAAGGGCAGGGTCCAAGGCCACTGGAGGGTTTTAAATTAGTGACTGCTTCCACTGACATGCCCTTTACCTGGAAGCCCTTTTATACTGACCATCAACTGTGCCAGGTGCTGCGTTAGGCTCTGGGGTTATGGGTAGACATAATCTCTATTCATAAGACCCTTATTTCCTTGAGAAAGTATACAAAACAAGCTCTGAGAGTCAGGGGGATAGAAAGAAATTTGGACAGTGAAGAACACAGTCTTAGATATTTAATGAGGGCCAGAAGTTCCCTGCTTTGGTTTCTGGTTACTGAGCTGTCCTCTAGAAAACACAACTATTTCCCTGAACCCCAACTAAGAGTTTGAGGCATCAGCTCCAATAATTATCCAATTACACAATTGTGTGAATTATACAACTTCCATCAGCGTTCTGGCTAGGATTTGTGCTGTGCAGTAGTTTGTTGATTTTTTTTTTTTAATTAAAATCCTGCCTTTTTTTTTTTTTAGCAGAAACTTCTCAGAAGACGTGCTGGGGTGGAGAGAGTCATTTGACTTGCTGCTGAGCAGTAAAAGTGAGTGGGACCCTGTTGTGTCTGTCTGTGGATGGCACATGTGTACCCATGTGCCGTGGAGCCAGCCTGAGGATGCTGAAAGCGTGGGCAAAATAGTAGTAGTAGTAATAATAATAATGATCCCCTAGTGTGCCAGCCTCTATTCAGAATACAGAGGCAGGTCCTTGTTCGAGAAAATTACATCCTAAAAATAGACCATTAACTACAATTGCTGTCTTTTCTTCTTTTATTCCCGGCTGGCTGTCCCCGCTGTCTGACCTGTCTCTTCCTCTCTCCCTGCAACCCCAGATGGAGTGGCCGCCTTCCACGCCTTCCTGAAGACAGAGTTCAGCGAGGAGAACCTGGAGTTCTGGCTGGCCTGTGAGGAGTTCAGGAAGCTCCGGTCAGCTACCAAGCTGGCCTCCCGGGCTCACAGGATCTTTGAGGAATTCATCTGCAGTGAAGCCCCCAAAGAGGTCAGAGCCGTGACATATTCCAGGGATCCTGCAGACCCTGCCTGCTCCTTCCCCACTGAGAATTGGGGGGCCAGCATGAAAAGGGCCGAGTTTAGAAATACAGTGGCCTCATTTGGCACAGGAGGCTGGAGACTATATAGCCAGGCTCCGGGCCACCCCTGCCTGCTGTTACCCTCATACTCACCAGTGGGACTGGAGGGGTTGGCAGGGGTTTTTTGGCTTCTGTCCATATGCACTTCTGTAAACTAAGCCCTTTTTAGAGCTCAAAACACTTACACAACTGGGGAGACAGGTCATCATAGGATAACCTGTGGCTCAGTCTCCTTGTTGACCTGCCTCAGGTCTGTGGTCTGTGGACCTTTTAACCTTCCCCCAGGCCTCCACTGTGTTTGATAGAGAATATGGCGCCACCTTGTGGAGAGAGAGTAGTAATGCCTTGCTTTTGTATCTGTACAATATATTTTCTGAGCACTTTTATTTATTCCATAAAGATTTGTTGAGCATCAGTTACATGCAAGGCACTATTATAGACATTGAGGATATGGCAGTGAACAAAAAGTCTCTACCCCCGTGGGAGAAGGTGACAATAACCAATTAAGTAAATATTGTCAGGGAATAATCTGTGCTCTGATAAAAACAAAGCAGGATATGGAAGGGAATACCAGAGTACGGGGTGGGAGGATGTGGGGTCTTTCCGATTTATAAAGGGAAGTGAGGGGTGGGCTGTTTGATAAGGTGACAGGTGAACAGAGACCTGAAAAGGAGGAAAGAACATTCTAACACAGGAAACGGAAAGTGCAAAGACCAGAAAGTGCCTGTTGTGATCACAGACCAGCAAGTGGGCCCATGTGGAGCAGAGAGTGAGGGAGAGAGAGTGGGAGATGATGTCACACAGGTGGCAGATGGCCAGGTGCCGGCCCAGGTGGCCGGGTGGGCTCATTGCACACTTGGGATTTTCCTCTGAGTGACGGGAAACAACAGAGCTGCTAGCAAACTGACTTGGGTTTTAAAAGGCTTGCTCTGCTGGGTGGAGAATAGAGCCCGGGGTTAAGGGGAGAAGAGAGAGACACCAGGTAGCAGGCGCTGGCACTAGTCTAGGAGAGAGGTGATGGTGACTTGAACCCGGGTTGTTACAGTGGGATGGGTGAAAAGAGGTTGGATTTGTACCCATTCTCAACATATCCTGGGTCATTCTGAGAGACTGGAGGACAGACACTGGATCAGAGGTGGGGACAGGCCCGGAGTTGAAAAGCCCGTTGATGGTCAACTCTGGAGACCCCCGGTTCCGTGTTCGGAATACAGTGCGCCTTCCACTGCCCCACGTGCCAGTCCTCCCGTGCCTGCTGGCCTCCTGCCTCTGCCACCCCGTGCCCTGACGCCCACGCACCCACGTGCTTGCCCTCCATCCCACAGGTGAACATAGACCACGAGACCAGGGAGCTGACCAGGACGAACCTGCAGACGCCTACGGCCATGTGCTTCGATGTGGCTCAGGGGAAGACGCGCACCCTGATGGAGAAAGACTCGTACCCGCGCTTCCTGAAGTCCCCAGCTTATCGGGACCTAGCTGCCCAAGCCGCAGCCGCCTCCGCCTCTGCCTCCCCATCCGAGCGCTCGCATACCTGAGCCTCCGGGCTGGGAGGGGGCCAGCCGGGCAGAGAGATTGGGTCGCCCATAGCCGAGGCGCCGCCCA